TAATGTGAACATTCATCGAGATGCATTAATGGTAGAAATGAAAGGTATAAGTAAACCACGAATCAATTATCTCTATATGTCACCATCGGACAAAAAAAACGATTCAACTTCAACATCGTCCAATCAACCATCTGTTTACTATCCAATTGAACTTCTTCATTATGCTTCATTTAATATAGCTGATATGCAATTCTTTCATAAGTTACCTAGCATACTTGTGCGTATTACTCAATTGTATTATATCGAACAATTGCGAACATTATTTGCTACTCATGTGAAGAACTATTCAGTAAAACAAAAATACTTAGTTTCTCTTTCTATGTATTCATCCAATATATTTTGTTTTTGTAGTTGATGGATGTATCATTAATGCGAACATCAGTCAGCTTTGCCGATTATCTCAAAACCATTAATTCAACATCAATGGAGTGTCTTCCGATAGTGAGTTTCATATATATATATTCTATGTGTAATAAAAAGGAAATTATTTGTTTTCTTCTTTTTAGCCTCCACAAACTATACTTCCATTGATTCCACTTACTTATGATTCATCGATCGCCATGAATCAGCCTATGCCTGACATTCTCTTTCAAGCAATAACACGACGTTCATGTGGTGAACAAGTGGATCATGAAAATTTAGAAATACTTGGTGATTGTTTTTTGAAATTAGCTGTTTCGATGTCATTATACATTAAGTATCCATCAGCTGGTGCTGGAATATTAACAAACAAAAAGAAAATAGAAATTTCAAATGAAAATCTCTATCGATTAACTATTCAAAACAAATTGAAAGCATATTTGAATGTTAAGAAAATTGTCTTTCGAGGTACAGAAGCTAATTGGTTACCGCCAGGATATACAGTCGATAAGACGAAAGTCATAACTCATGAACAGTATACACATCAGAATGCAAAACGAAAGGCTTTCAGTGACATGATCGAAGCATTTATCGGTACATTTCTTATCTCAAGTGATTACACAACAACGTTGAAGTTTATGCATTGGCTTGGACTAGATGTTATTCCATTAGATGGTCAAAGTAATCTAATAAAACTACCATCAATTTTTCGTGCAAGTACAGTGACTATGACTAATGATCAAATGGATCGAATCATCAATCAATTTTTTATTGATCGAGCATTTGCTGATATTGAAACAAAAATAAATTATACATTTCAAAATAAAGCTTATCTTATTGCAGCATTTACTCATCCATCAAACTTTGCCAATCGTGCAACAGATTGTTATGAACGGTATAAACAATTCATATTATTAGGATTATTTTAATTAGTTAATTTTTCGTAGACTGGAATTTCTTGGCGATGCAATACTAGATTTTTTGGTTACACGTCATATATTTGTTAATTACAGCCAGAAGATCACACCTGGTAAGTAGTAATTTTTTTCGTTTCTAATGAAAGAAACGCCTTTTTAATTTGTCAGGTCGAGTGACAGATATTCGACAAGATCTATCGAATAATGGTCGACTTGCATATATTCTGGTTGCTTGTGGTCTTCACACAAAGATTCTTCATAATTCAACCACTTTGTTCGGTCATATTACATCGTATGCTGGCGATGAAAATCTCTTTCCAGAAAATCATTCAACTGTGCAATATTTGAGCAAAGTAGATATTAAACATTCGTCTAGTTTCACTTTTTTCTGTTTGAATATTCTGATTAGATACAAAAAAAACTGTTTTTTTTCTTCTCTTTATTCGCATAGGATCTTGATCAATGGGCTGATACAACAGCTCCTAAAGCTCTAGCTGATGTTTTCGAAGCACTTGTCGGTGCTGTCTTTCTCGACTCAGGTAATTCTCTACAAACCGTTTGGGATGTTTTCGAGCCATTACTTCGAAATTATATTGGTATGAATATAGTAAAAACTAAATTATTATTCACATAAATAATTGTCTTTGTAAATGCAGATCGATCGATTATATGTCCGAATTTAAATCCAGTTCGATGGATTTCAGAAAATGGTGGCAAAGTGACAGAGTAAGTTTAATTTTTTATTGGATATATTACAGCTGTTCTTCATACTTAGTGAATTTCCTGAGATCACTGATGATGGACCGATGGCGGTGTGTGTTGTTCAAATGTCCAATGGCACTGTCTTCGAAGGTCGCGGAACAAATAAGAATAAAGCAAAATTCGATGCATGTCGAAAAGCTATGAAACAGAGTGCAGATCAACAGACATCATAGTGACACATTCTTTTTTTTCTGATTTGATGATCTTTGACTTTTTACCTTAATCATAACATATTCTATGAAATAAACATAATTCAGAAGTTCCTAACAAAAATATTTGCCACTGAGCCATATTTACATTAGAGTGTGGATGGGGCGACTATTAGAGTATCTCTTCCACACTCACACCCTCAAGATATAAAGAGATCAGTTAAATAAATAGGTAAAAACCAATTGAGAGACGGATTTGCTAGAAGAAAATTAGTGAGAGACTGTTCGAAGATCGACGCTATGCTCAAACCATTAGGACTAATACTGAGAACGCTGGAAGACTAAAATCAGGATCGAGACAAATCTAGAAAATAAATATGGGATGGATGTGGCTGTGTGTGAATGAAGGTTTGTGTGTATCATATCCATCCTACCCGCCCTCACCCACACCCACACCCTGTCTTTTGCTCACTTGAATAATATTATTATTTATATTTTAGTATTTTAAATACTTCTACTAGTTAAAGTTAGAATAGATAGAAGCAGCAGATGTTAATTTTGCTGCAGAAAAATTATTCGAAAGTTAATTTAATTATAAAAGTCATATTAAAGTCTTTAAGTGAATTATATCGCATGAAACTTTTCATGAATGGATAACTGCTTATTGATCAATCGTTGAAATGGTTTTTCGATAAAAATGAACCAAATGACAGATATGGTGACACTAATTATTAACACAAATGTAAAGCATATAATTGTTAGAATATCGATGGAGTGGCGTGTAGGATTAAATATATGACTGTGAATCATTATCAATTCCAATAGAACTCGACAATGAATTACATATACCAAATAGCTCAGTTTAGCAATCGGTGTCCATATTGGATGAGATAGAAAGGATCTAATCCATGGACTATAGTAAGGATGTGTAGATGGACAAATAGCTGAAAAGAGAATAAATGCTTATGCTATTGCAAATATTTGTCGCAAAATAGAAACCATAATTGTTAATACTACATCATTGAGTGCATTTGGTTCAGTTAGTACCGTCAATATGATCATAAATAGAAAAATGAATGTTAAATAAGTATACTTTTTAATCGTTCCGTAACGAATCATAGTGTTATTTTTGGCATTGATTAGATTAAATGCGAGAATAGATCCGATTATAAAGCTTGAATATCGACCTGGTATTGACAAGTATATCAATTCCATGAACGATTTTATTGGACTTGGATCAATTACCTTCTCAAATCCGAGCGTGACATTATATTTAACTGTCAACCAATCAATAAAGCATTGCGGTAATGATAACGCCATGGTATTATCATGATACATATGCACTAACAAATTCATAGTCTTTGGATTAAAAACAATCGTTGAATAAACAATAGACAATATAACAAGTATATATAATGCTAAATAAGTTCTTCGATAATTCGATTTGGGGCTGATGACGATATGAAGAATGATGGGTAGTATTATATGCATTTGCATATCAAGGCTGACACTCCAGAGTACACCAGAACTCCATGACCACTGATTCATACTAACATAGTTTTGATAAAATAGCCAGAAACTTGTCCAGTTTCCTTGAGATTCACCTGATATCAACATCAGTATGGTAGTCAGTAAAATTCCTGGCCAAAAACGACAAGCACGTCTCAATATATACAAAGGATATTCTTTCAGTGAGAAAGAATCTCGATGTTGAATGAATTTTAGTGTGAGAAGAAAGCCAGACAGCATAAAAAATGTTTCCAATAATAATCCTTCAAGAGATGATAATCTGTATGTATAACTATTCAAGTAAGTCATCCATTGTATATGTGGATAAGGTGGAATAAATGAATTCAATAAGCAACCGATATGAAGTGAAACAATAGCTAAACAGGAGATCGAACGCATTCCATTGATCGGAGCATATTTTTCTGATTGAAATAATGAGTAGATATCTTCCTTTAACTGCCACATATTCGCTATTGCAAATAAAAATATGTAAGTAATAGAAGAAATGTAAACGTGGTCTTGCTATCGTAATAAAAATCAAGAATGACGAAAAGAAAAAAAGAGGAGATAAAAAATAAGTAATATCATATAATGATATATATCCCTCACCTAACCACCTATATTATCTTTCTTTTCTATGTGAATGAAGAGTGTAGCCCGTGTACCATACAGAAGACAAAAAATCGAAAAAAAAAACTACGAGTGCGATGTTGAATATGTATTAAAAATAATATTTTTCTAATACTTTTAAGCAACAGTGGAGATTTTCGATTTTACAGGCAATTTCTATATGCTATATCTATAAATTACTTACGTTAAAGTTACTCAATAGTTTGCTAATAAAACTATTTTACATATTAAAATATTTATCTGCATCATTTAATAAAAATTGTTATATAAAAAGTTTTTAAAACAAATATCCAATGACTTAAATATCAATCTACACAACAATGAAAATTTTTTTAATGTCTATTATTGATAGTTTTTTATACACAAAACAAAAGACAGATAGAACCTTAACTTTTCAGAAGTGAATGATTATCTTGACTTAATTACTCACAGTCTGAAGATCGTCAAATATACTTATGGTTATATGCAGAATACTGAGATACAAATAGTATGATATTGGTTGAGTACAAATGATATTTTAAAAAATGAGAAAAGAGAAAAAGTTAGTGAAAATGTCTTCTGTTTATTAAACTAGATGTTTCAAAGGTGAATAAAGGATCGAGGTATAAAACATCTAATGGGAATATAATAATACCCCAATGAAAAAAATAAGGAATAAATGAGATGAGTTTTTTTATTTTCCGATACTAGCTGTTAAATTTTCGAACATCATCTGTTGTATAAATTGTTTATATTCGTCTTGTATTTCCTGATTACGTTGTTGGTATTGCTGTTTTTGTTCTAAAACTATTTGTGAAATTTCTGCTGAGGTAAATAATAAAGTTTCGTCTAATTGTATCATAGCAGCGTGTCGTTCATCATCAGTTTGAAGCAGTAAAAGTTTAGAAACATCAGACATTTGAGATACTATATATGCACTACTAACATCATAATATGTTTTCGCTATAATATATAACAAATTAGCATCTTGTTCTATTTTAATTATTGCATCAAGCATTTTTGAAACAAAAAAATATCGATCAGCTGCATTCAATTGAATATTCATTGATATAATATTATTGATAGTATCCATAAGTTCGTAAAATACAGTTTGACGACTAGTTTCAACACGTATTGTTAATATACTCAGATATCTAGCTATTTCACTCCATTGTTGTTGCATCTTATTGAGTTCTTTAGTAGCATTTACTAATACATTCATATTCATCAAGACACTATTGTTGACTCCGTATGAGTCTGCCAATGCTTCAATAACTTCTTGTAAAAGTGCAGTTGAACTCTCATACTTTTTTATGATAATGTTGGCTGAATTAGCGACATCTTTAGGAATTCGTTCAATCGTATCTAATGTTTTTGGAAGCATTACTTGGATTATACTAGGTGCAGCTGATTTGAGTAGTTTAAGAATTATTTTCAAATGTTGTGGTATTTGTTTTGTACTTGATTGTATTCGCTCTATGGTAGTATGTGCATTCATAAATGCATTATAGATTTCACTGGCAATCTGTGCTAAGGTCATACGAAATGAATTCGGATATTTAATATGTTCATAAACATGACTGGGGCTGGATGACGTCAAAGAAAAATCACATTTGCTAGCTAATATCATTAAATTACCAATATAATTTATTGCAAGTGGTCCGGCAACAAGCAGTTCTTCCCAATTTTCTTCAATTACAGGTTGTGCAAGAACTTGTGTGTCCAGATTTAAATCACTCAATGTCGTTGTACTTGACAATGTCAAATCAAAAATGATAAAAACTAAAATATAATCATCATATTTGTAAATTATATCTCAAAAATCAAATAACTTACAACTGAAATATATAAATTTCATCTTAAAGAGAAAAAACGATTCAATGATATACGTTAAAATAACTAAAAAATATAGCACAATTTCCACGCTTTTATAAACGTAGCAATATCATTAGTTTCGCGGAATTTTAAAATCAATTTTCGAAGAAAAAAGAACAAATGTTTTTTCTCTCATATATTCTGTACTCGCGAATAACTAAAATATATTATCTCATTAAATCAATATTGACTTTTATCAAATAACAAATGCAAAATATCGACAAAAATATGTTTTCAGTTTGTTATTATTTGTGGTACCACAATATTTGTTCGTCGTTGATTTTTTTAATGGATCTGTATATCGATAGAGTGTAAGCATAACTAATATCATTTGTTTTACAATGAGTGTTTTTGGAATTTCAGATCCGTAAAAAGTAGCATATAGAATTGATACATTTGATTACCTACAGTGTAAATAGCTTCACCATTGAGAAGAAATACAAATGGATATAGATATAAACATTGATCATGTTAGACTAATTCAAAATATTTGCGTTTGTTTTGCTTGAAAGAATAAATATGTTAGATAAATAACAAGTGTATATCAATAGATTAATTGAAGTGAAAAAAATAATTTGAAATTGCATTGGATAAATGAAAAAGATATGCACGAATAATGCATAATGAATCTTGATATTCGATTTGGGTGTGGGTGTGGGTTTGAATGTTAAGTTAATCACCCACACCCTTTATGTTGTAATTTTAACTCTATGTGTTGTCTCGTTCGTATTTTGTTTTAATACATTTGAATATAACCATTTACAACATATCTTTATATAGTTGATGATGTGTTTCAATAAACCAAATAAGTGTAATAGCTATATTCTCCTATAGCTACTATCCGATTAGTATAAAAATGTTGTCGAGCGTAACAATTTCACAAGTGTTTAACATGAAAATTGATAATAATGTTTGTAGAGAGGATGTATATAAAAACACTTCTATCCATACTTATTCATATACCATCCTGCATACATTCTCGCTGACCTATGTCTGAAGACCTAAAACGAGCAGTGAGTTTCCGTTTGCAACAGTCCATAAATGATCTGTGTGCTACTTGCATACATTATGCCCATTGAATTCTTAAATTTTATTGAGTTCTGTTGTCTCTCTGGCTTCAAATATGACTTTGAGTTCCCGGTGTAGATTGTATACAATATATTTATTATCGCTTGCATATTTAATACGAGAGAAAGATTTCACATGTTCCATATGACTTTACAACTCATAGAATTGTCACATTACTGAAAAAGAAAATCAGATGTATTGCAGAGATGCCCAAGAAATCCAAAAGTTGAACGAATATTTGTATTAATTTTATTAGACAAAACATGTGAAGGAAGTAAAGACGTCATTAACTGTTTTTAGTTTTTCTGATATAAACATGGCGATGCATTTTTTTCTATCCACAATAAGTTTACTTCGGTTACCATCTCCATCTGTTTTCTTTTCAGACACAATCTTTGTTAAATAATATCATTTTCTTAAAGAAATAATAAAAGAAATAAATTCTGGAAAAGAGATAAAGAATTACTGACATTACTTTGGAACTGTGAAAAGCAATTTATTTTAATATATCTATTCAATAAAACGTTTTGTTTTTAATATTCACAATAAAGTGAATGCGATAGTATTAGAAAATTTGACTTGCGATTGAATGTTTCTTTTGTGTTTATCATCTATCATTTTTTACATACAACAAAAGTTTAAGATCTGCGTACTTTTTATTTTCCAAGTACAAACAAAATAAAAAAATATCATATATCAAAATATATGATTTTCTTTTAAACTGTGGAAGTAAATAGTACATTCCCTTTAAAATCATAGTCCATTATACAGCTGTCATAACAAAAAAAAAGAAAGTGCGATGTCTAGTTTTTCAGTATGTTGGTAGAATAAAAAAAATAGTTATAATGTGAACAGAGAGAAAAAATGAGATGGTATTTATTGTTCTGTCGCTGTGTTGCATTTCTTTCAGTAGTAAATTTCTTTTTTTTTAACTAACAATCTTGCTAGTTATGACTTGGAGAAGAAATTGTGTAGCGTTTCTGTTTGTTCTTCTTGTACAATCAGTCGCTCAAGATATACGTTCATTTATGATGTCTAAAATAGCTGGCTGGCAATTTAATTGTGCTAGTACAACTTGTTTACCATTTTCTACTCTCATTGTGTCGGACATTTTCAAATGCGAACTGGCTTGTTTAGCTCAAATTCAATGTGAAGCAATTAGTTTTCATCAATCAACTACTAAGTGTGAATTATTTGCCAACATAACGAATCAAAATGGGAATATGTTGGCCAATATTGATAGTGTGACTATGATTGTTATAGATCAAACAAGGTTTCCAGCAGGTTAGTACAATTACAACACTATAATAAAGATATATTAGAGAGTAAAAAACCCATTTTCTTCTCTCAACTGATCGAAAACTATTATGTTTCAATACTCAAATCAGAGTGAAATTGAGAGTGTGGGTGTGTATGTGCATATGTATGTGGATAAAAACAAATTAATCTTCAACTACATCTACCCACACCGACTCACACTCATCCTATTAAACCTCAGTAGATCCCAATAGATCCTGGTAAACCTTGTCAGATCTCAGTGGACCCTAACAAACCTTGGTAGATTTTAAATGGCTTATTGTAATTACATAGATTTATGTATTAAATATATGTAATAAAAAAAATATATAGAAAATATGAAAATTTTGAATGATTTTTCAATTAATTTCAGTAATGAACCCCTAGTAAGAGATTATACTAATCATAAAACAACGAAATTTTTTACAGAGAATCACTAACTCAAACCGATTATTGGATCCATTCTATACATATGGATTTGAATACACAAAGATTGCAGATCTGCTGTGATATACTAATATATACAGACTTAGCCGTAGAACTGGCTTTGCTAAACTAAGCATAAGTTTTGAATTCCTTTTTTTCTGAAAGAGACACATACTACAGCAAGAATACTAAAGAATTAATAGTAGGACATAGTCAGAATATGTTGAAGAAGTGTGACGAGAGAAATGGCGATACTAATATTTTACTTCTTGTGAGCTACGAATGGTCGCATTTTCTCACAAATCGATTCGTTCATTCTTTTCCGAAGAAACCCGGATAAAACACTTCATGAAACTTTCATCAGATCAAATTTTACACTTTTCATAACAGAACCGGTCGCATCATCATCTATATTATCATCAACATCAGCAATATTCACAACAAACGACGCAACATCACCATCCACTTCATTATTACCAACAACAAAAATCAACACCACGTTAGCATCGGCAACTATCAACACAACGTCAGTATCAACAACAATTAATACTACGTCAGTGTCAACAACAATCAACACAACATCATTACCGACAACAGTTGGTAAGTGATTTACTATATAAGGTGTACTACTTTCTGTAGTTTCGTAGGTAATAGCCAGTTCGAGGGATCAAATTTAAAATCTTTACTTTATATCTGCTAAATGTAGTCGACCTAGACAAAAATCAACTTTAAGGAAGATTTCTTATCTGAAAACGAATTGAATGAGGATAATACAACTGTTTTTCCTAATAGTTTGTTACTACAATCTTGAATAGTATGATAAAAAAAAACCAATATATATATAAGATTTACTGACCACTTTTATTCTCAGTTCATTTTCGCTTCTAACTCTTAGCAATCTCATTTCTTAAAATCAACAGCATCATAGCGTTCTTTTCGCCAAACGAATTTTCTACTTACGTTAGCGTGGTTTATGCTAGTAGAACTGAAGTATATGTCAGCTCAGAACAGCTGAAATTGTCCAATAATAAGTAACACAATCTTGTCAGCTACCTTAGCTTCGAGTGAGAAAAAGGTGTTAAAGATTCAATAAACATTGACAATTAGTATTGTTTATGCACTAATATAGATGCGAAAAATTTTGTTTTTTACAGCTTGGAATGTTTGTCTTAATCTAACTACTTACACAACTGGAACTTCTCCAATCGTAGCAGCAGTCGTCGATGTAAATAGTGACAACAAATCCGATATTATTGTTATAAGCTATGATTCAGACACTGTTGGTGTTCTTCTCAACAAAGGCAATGGTATCTTTCTGAATCCAACTACTTACTCAATTGGTGATGGTGCACAAGCACTCACAGTCGTCGATGTGAATAGTGACAATAAACCTGATATTATTGTTGCAAACGCTAATGATAACGATATCAGCGTTCTCCTCAACGCAAAGAATGGTACTTTTCAGAATCAAACTACTTACTCAACTGATTCGTACCCAATTTCAATGGCAGTCGTCGATGTCAATAATGACAATAAATCCGATATTATTGTTGCAAACTATGGTTCGGACGATGTTACTGTTCTTCTCAACGGAGGCAATGGTTCCTTTCAGAATCAGATTACTTACTCAGCTGGTAGTGCTCCACAGACAGTAGCAGTCGTCGATGTCAATAGCGACAATAAACCCGATATTATTGTAACAAACTTTAATTCGACCAGTATCAGTGTTCTCTTACATTGTTAAAGCTTATCGATCAACAAAATTCTACTTATTAATTGACATTTTATTATTCTACTAAGAATATATTCTTATAAAACATTACAGTCTATCAACTATCATTTACGCTCGTTTGACGTGAAGAATTTCCACAAAACTTTGCAACTATGCATATCAATGTGAAATACATCGATATTCATATATCAGACAGAAATTCATTAATCAATAATGACGTTAATTCTAGTGATATACTTTTTTGAATGCATAAAACTAAATGTATTATGATTACCGAGACTTGACAATGCACAAAAGTTTTATTGACTTAAAATATATCTTTGAACTGTCGATAATAATATTATAAACGACGAATAAAATCTGACATTGAAAATAAATAAATCGACAGTACCCACGATCTAGAAATTGTTAGTTTACGGACTTCAAAACATTTATCGAACTTAAAGTTCTTTTATTCGAAACTGTCATGAAAATCGATGGAGTATAGATGTAAATGTAAGCAACTAATGCACAGAAAATCTGAACTGACATCCACCTGTCTACACTCACACCCATATTTCTGTTATTTCATCACATTTGTTTGATTAGTTTGATTACTTTAAATTAGAAATTTCTAGGTGGTGAAGATATCTCAAATGCTTCACTAGATAATGAAGATAAAACTTCATTAAAAACGAAGAATCAATCGTGTGCTAGTGGTAGACCTAGAATTTTTATGTCAAGGGACGATTTTAGGTGTGGGTGTGAGAATCGTGTTAAACTTCTGGATTGTAACAGATTTTTCTGGATTAAGAAGTCCGATGAAAGTCGTACTATTTTATTGAATTTTCAATCGTAAGAAAAGGAATTAAAATTGAATTTGCTTTTTATTAGTTTACGCGAATAGTTCGAATTTTCTTTGGATTAATTAGAGGCTTTTGGCAGAAATGACTTGAAGTGTTATATATATGTTTACATTTTTTCTTTTCTTGCACATGGTATGACATTTGAATTGAATATAAGTACGTTGCTCTTTTTTATCCATTTCTCTTCAATTACAAGACCTTTTTGTAACTGAATTGATTGAGTGAGAAGATGAGAATTATCTTTATTCGCTAACTAAATTTATTTTTGGAAAAAACTAGCTAATTATGAAACAAAAAATTAGAAGAAGAAAGAGGACGATCTAAATGCATCCTTCTTACTTCTTGTCAAAATGGATGAAAACAAAGAAGATGATGTAATACATCTTCTTTCTAACTGTGCAAGAAGTAAATACAAATGTAGAAGAAAAAAAGAATAATACGGATGTTGTTACAGTGCTGTCTAAAATTTATACATTAGATATTGAATCAGTTCAAAGAAAAAGGGCAAAAGTCTTGATTTAGCAACAGCAAACCTTGGCGCATGATCTTTTGACGGTGACAGTTTTCTTTCTGATGACTTTGCAACATGGTTTGCAGCAGCATACAGTTTTAGTTACACAACATTTTGGACCGCAGCAGCATGAACAACAGCATGGATCACAGCAAGAGCAACAGCAAGGATCACAACAGCATGGATCACAGCATGAACCACAGCCGCAACCACAACCACAACCACAACCACAACCACAACCGCAACCGCAACCGCAACCACAACCACAACCACAGCCTGGCATATTAATAGTAATAATGTAGTATAGAATAAAACTAGAGTAAGATGAGAATTGGTTTGTGAAATTATGAGAAAATGTGTGTATATATATATACAGAGGCAAAGAAACGAAGAAAGTTGTTTACAGTCGACAAAAACAATTCATTACTGTCCTCATATGACAATACTTAACATGAACATGTGATACAGAAATAAGTAACGCTTTGTTACTATTCATGCAATACATGAAACATCAACTACTATTGCGTAACATTTTTCACTCATACAATACAAGAAAAACATGAAATTCACGCTTGATTACAAATGTTTTCCTTTTGATTTGTTTCATAGTGTCAAAAACATCTAAATTTAATTACACGTTCACCTTGTGACTACAACTCAAAAAGGGTAATGTCATTTGATACACTTTTTCATAAAAATAGTGCTAATAAAAAAGAAAAAAACTAAATGTTTCTGATGAAAAATATTGAGTCTCATGTTCTAGTACACACACACACACTATAATATCATCAAATTGCGTCAATATCATAACACAACACAAAAGAAAGCATTGAACAAATGATTTAGTATATGGGTGTGGGTGTCTATCATCTAATAACTCACCCTGAAGTTTATTTCACACAAGAACAACTATACCAAATATCAATAATTTTGTCTTTAATACATAATAATGAATGATTGTAAAAATGATTTTTATTATTACTTGTTTTACTAGCAGATTTATATGATTGATAAAAGTTAACATTTGAATAAATATTACTATTCAAACTTTGATTATTTTCAACATTAGGTGTTTGTAATACTAATACGAGATTTCAAAATGGTTGTGATACATGTGATCGTAAAACTCAAATCTGTCGAAAACTACTTTTAGCTAAATTAAGGCAACTATACGCCCATGTAACTATTAATGGTAGAATTACATAGATAATGTCGGTACTATTTTGGACATAAAGTCTATCTTATAATTCTTATTGTTCTTTAGAAAAAAGGAATTTATTGAAAAATGTTTGAGAATGACTCATTTATTTGAGATGAAATTTTTCGCTTATTCTTAACATAGATGTACTTACTACGTTTACAAATATCACATAAATCTGATAGATTAATTGAACAAGCATCTAACAGATATAAGTATTAAATATTTTATGTTGACAGTTGACAATGAGCACTTCATTGCTTCATTAGTTATTCGATATGACGTAATGGAGAAAGTAACGAGCGTTTTTTATTTCTGTTCTCTACACGTGTATACATGCTTCACTAATTTTTTTTGTTTTCTATCATATTACCAAGCCGTTTATTTACCGTTTGCACACCATATCATATAGTCAGTATGTTTTGGGTAAGCTAGTATATTATATAAATCGATAATATAAGAGAAGCATAGTTATACCCAAGTTAGATTAATAAATAATACATTAGCTGTTTTTTTTCTATGGAAATTTATTTAAACTAAATATAGAGACGAAAATGATAGAATCTTTGTAATGCCCAAAAATAAAACATACTAATTCGACAGTTCGTAAATGAAAGACTGTTTGGCTATTAATGTACGAAAATCGTACAAATCAAAGTGAAATAGTTAGACGAAATATTTAGTTTTATGTAGTAAGTTGTATATCTGTAGAGACTAGAAAAAATGACTAATATGTCTTTTCAGTTGAAATCTATATTCAAAAATCAATACCTTATCTATTCGATCGATTTTGTTTTTATTATTCTAAGTTAATCTTAATGATATTCATTTTAGTATATTTAGTTGTTCATTTACGTTAGCTTTCAGTTATGACAGATACGAGTAAGACACGTCTTTATTTGTATTATTTTGTGTTATTGACGTTGAGTCTTGGATTATTCTATTGTTTTCATCGTATGACGATCAAACATCCAGAAGATTATATGTACATGGAAAAATGTGTCTTATGCATTATCTCAAGTTTCTTTAATATATTTGTGCTTTTCTATCATTGTACTCATGCTCCACATCCAAAATATCTTATCTTACCGCAACGTCGATTTGTAATTTATACACATATTCTCTCGGGTGTATTGGAATTTCTAACATGTTGGATCGCATTTTGTACTGGTAGTGAACGTATTGCTACTATTGCTGCTATAATAGCCATTCTAGCTCATGTTCCTTCAGCTTATTATCAGACATCGATTGCGTTTGGTGCCAAAGCTATTATGGTTGCTGGTTATTTATTTGCAATAAATATTCATCTTTTCTGTGCATTGCATTTATTTTTCAATCCAAGTTCGTCTTATTGGCTGCTCAATATGTTTCTTGTTCATAATATTTATGTATGGTGTCGAGTATTGTATGCTTTTTTTAAGTTTCTCGGTTTATTTCAAGACAGTCTATATACTAATTCAGTTGTTATAGCAAGTCTCATTTTAATTCCTGCTGTACTTGGTGTCTCAGCCAATATGCTATTTCTTGGTTATGTAGTGAGTAGTATTCTTCTCTACTTAATCATCGTTCGACCAAATAAAATCGATCGTGCATATTATGTAGGCGAACGTACACGTAATCTTCTTGTTAATAAAGATGTTCACAGTAATTGGCTTAAAGAAAAAGCTCGTCTAGTACGCATGAATAAAGACAATGAACTTAGTGATCAGCAACAAGCCAAGCTTGTTTTTGATCTTCTTGATGAAGATAAAAATGGATATATTGATGGTGAAGAAATAAATCGTCTTTTAAAAGAATGGCAAACAGCAGAAAATTTTAGGAATCGATTCTTTCGTTGGACAAAAAATGGACAGATCTCATACGAGAACTTTTACAAAAATATTTGGCGTTTAGGTGAAACTTCTATTGGACATTTTCAAGAAGGACAAAATAAAGAAGGAAGAGCAAGAGCACGTTTTATCTTCGATTGTTTGAATAATGATTCCAATGGATATCTTGATTCAATTGAAATACAAAAATTATTAATTCAATGGGGTTTACCTGATAATGAAGTTGATGCATATCTTGCCAATGATGACGATAAACAATTTTCATTTGACGAATTTTATCATAATCTCAAACCAGTTTGGAATTTTGCATATGAAAATATGACGCTAAAGGATACTGATGAAGTGTTAAAACCAGTACATGATCATTCAAGCTAAATAATATTATATTTCAAAGAAAAACTGAATATTTGATTCACAAATAATTTATTTCCTAAAATTTTTAGTTTTTTCAAATAAAATCTAATAAAAAGTAGTATTCTATTTATATCATAATGCTAAATTTCTCTCGATGACATAACTAGTTCGTTTGAATATAATTAGAAGTTATTCAATGAAGAAAATAGATTAATCAAGAACTCTTTTTTCCAACTATATCCGCTTAAAATAGTTTTAATCATCTAGCATTGTTGATATTATGAATAACACTATCTCTTTTGTATTTATTATAAATAAATTCATATTTTTCTAAAGAATATCATGTCAACGGAAACAAATGTTGTCTTCATTGTAAAATATTTTAAAAAGTAAAATGATATTTACATATTAAAAAATGTCTAATTAAATTTCGAGAAAAAGATACGTAGAATAAATAATTATAAGACAAAACCAGGTATCAAATTTTGTCTGAAACAGATTTTTGAGAAAAATGTTTTTTGACGTTTTTTAATTCTATAAAATAGAATATCAACTACACTAGAAGGACAAACGTTGTTTGACATTTTTCTTCAGATATTTTCTCGTAGAATACTTTTACAGTACAACTCAGATATAGTGAATACTATCTTAATTATTAGAAAGAGAATCATTACTTTTTTTTTTCTTTAAACATCAGATTACAACGACACATTTCTGTAACACTCGTCGACATATAAAAGTGCACTAGCAAGAAATCATTTAAGTATAAAATCTCCCTACCAAAAAAAAGTAAATTTCTTTTTTAAACAATATATTTTTTTTATAGATATTCTAACGATGTCTTCAGCAACAAATTATATTTTATTTTTAAAATCAATAACGAAATATTTATATCAAATAGGTGGTCCAATTCTAATGTGTGTTGGTAGTATTAGTTGTATATTAAGTTTAATTGTATTTACGAAAAAAGCTCTACGAAAAAATCCATGTTCAATTTATTTTATTTCATATAATATTGCTAATTTTATCTTAATGTATTCATCTATATTTACAGTAGCATTATCGGCTGGTTATGGCATTTCTCCATCTACATATAATTTAGCTTTTTGTCGTTACAATTTATACATGGCAATTTTAATCGATATTCTTAGTTCATCTTATTTAGTTTTAGCTTCTATTGATCGAATGTTAGTTACTTCAGTTAATGTTAGAGTAAGACAGCGAAGTACTCGTCGTATTGCATATATAAGTATCATTAGTATAACAATATTTTGGATATTATTTCATAGTCATATATTATTTACAGCAGCTATAATACAAGCTGCACCAAATACGTTTGTTTGTAATTTACCACCTGGACCAGATTTAATATTACATTCCTATTATTCACTTATAGTCAAAGCAATTTTAATACCTTTATTAATGATTATATTCGGTGTAATAGCCTTGAAAAATATTCGAAGATTACGATCTGTTGCAGCTGCTCCTGTTTTAACAAATACTGGAACAACTGTAAAAAATCAATCACAATCTAGTCATGCAAAAGATCGTCAATTTTGTTTAATGTTATTTATTGATATAACTGCATATATTATTTTCAGTTCGATGTTATCTGCAATCAATATGTATCAACAAATTACTCAATATAATGTAAAGAGTTCATCACAAACACAATTTGAACTGTTTTTGAAAACTACCGCTGTTTTTATTAATTACATTTCAATTTGTATTGGATGTTATACAAATATTTATATATCAAAAACTTTTCGTAGTAATATTAAAGATATAATTTTATGTCGATGAATATTCTTATTTGTTTTTTTGTAATAATGTTGTTTAACAACAAACTATTTTAATATTGTAAAACTTTGTTTGTCTCATTGTTTATTAATAAATTTATAATATATATTTATATCTACAAAGAATCAGGAAGTCGCCGAAATCATAGTCTCTTGCTTTCTTCAAACATTGTGAAGAGATAAGAGAAAAATATTCTTCGACCCAGTCGTGATGGTTTCTATTGACAGCTAGTGGCGTAACCACACTGAGGCCAGATGGGGCTTAACCCCATCACCTGAATTTTTTAGTTACTGAACTTGTCAATCAAAAAGTCCAATAGACTACCCATGTAAAAACAACTACAAAATATGATTAAAATCGATTTTTTGAGAAAAATCAAGAAAATCTGACTAAAGCTGGCCAAAAAATCGTTTTTAATCGATAATATAAGATCTGATCGATTAAAACTGATTAAACCGTGACACATAATAGATTTTAAGAGATTCCTCCGATGAAAACCGATTTTCATCGATTGAATTCTTATAAAAATAGATTCTAACAAATTTCTGTGATGAAATCGATTTAAATCGATGAATTCTCAGCAGATAACATATTTTAACAGTTTTTCCTAACAAAAAAACTAATTTTAATCGTCATGAAGAAAAAACGTGTTTTTCTCTAGTTTCCAACTATCGGCCAGACTTTTCGACCTTGTTTTCAGAATCATTGCATTGACAAATAGCAAGTGCAATGGTAGAGCAATCTGTGATACTCTTACTATATCTCTAGGTACGATATAGCTCGATATTCACTCAATTATGCAAGAATATTGATGATCCTAATACAAACGAATTATTTTGGAATAATTCATGAAAATCGATTTTTCATCATCGAAAAGTCGATGAAAATCGGATTTTTTACGTTTGTTTTTACATGGGATAGACAGTTTTGGGGCTGAGCCCCATCATCCATAAATTTCTGGTTACGCCACTAATACAGCAAGAAGATCGTATGATTTCGATATGTCTTGTTCGAAACTTTGCTTAACAGAAATGAAAAAAGAACCTCCACGTGTTGCCTTACAGTTAATAACTTCTTATCCAAATATTTACAAAAAAGAAAAGATAAGATCTGAAATGCAGTAATAACGTCTGTAGACATTCAAATCAGTAAATATTTTGCATCAAAGTATCTCGATATTACCTTCTATTTAATATTATTATATAAATACATCGAACAAGTTTGTTTTCATTGTAAAATGTTGGCTCCTCAAGATCAGGCCTCAACTGCAGAAGCGCGAACTCTCGTGCGAGTAAATAACAAAAATATTTTGTGAGAAATGAAAATATGTTTTTTTTTCGTCGGTTATTCAAGCCTATACATGTATGGCTTGATCAAAATGTCGATACGGACGAAAGTAATCGTATTATGAAAGAAAAATTCAAAGGATCAGTCCATCGATTTGAAGCGTTCGACAATATTGATCAATGTGAAAGATTCATTGAACGTTGGACTAGTCGTAATATTGTGTTCATAGTTTCTGGTTCTTTAGGAAGAGAAATTCTTCCACGAATTCATTCGTTACCTCAATTATTGAAATGTTATGTATATTGTGGAAATAAACAAGCGAATGAACAATGGGCTCAACAATATTCTAAAGTTAATTTCTAGAAAATCGAATTCAAAAAGTTTTGTTTTAATTTCTATTTGTTTTAGATCAAAGGTGTTTTCGATTCATCTGCTGATCTTATCAAAGTCATTGTGCCTTATCATTGTTGAAATTTTCATTATTGATTTATCTGTAGGCTAAAAAAAGTTTCTAAATTTTATCGTTTTCATTATAAATATTTTCTCCCCAGTTTAGAACATTCCTGATCTTATAGTTTATCCTTGCATGTTGGCTACTGGAGGAAGTCTTTTATTTCGAAGGGTTTTGTAAACTGTCATTTGTTCATGATGACAAATAAACAAAAACGAATTCCAATGTTCACTATTTTATTATTTTAATTTTATAAAACAAAATAAATAAAAATATACAATATTAAAAAATTAATCTTTATTTTTTCACATATAGTTAATCGTGGTTGAGTGTTGGTGTTATTTTAGAGATATCTATACCCACACCAAAATTAATAAAAGAAAAAGAATAAAGACAATGAATTCAAAAGTACAATTTTAAACTATAGAAATGAAACATGACAGATGATATTTTATTACAATATATAATTAGTATTAGAGATTAGTTTAGATAAGAATAAATAAGAAGTTACATCGTTATTTTTTACATATGTTCTGAAAAACAATCACATTGTTGGATTTGCCATTTGTTACAACTAGATCAGGTTTGCCATCATTGTTCCAATCGCCTGACAGCACATTGTCCGGATAACTATTAGTTTTATATGTTGCTCGAGATGCAAAAACTCCATTTTTATCACCAAATAACACAATAATAGTATTACTTCCACTATTTGATACTACTAAATCGACATTTCCATCGCGATTGAAATCAGCTGCTGATATCGAAGATGGTGCTTTATCAACGTTATAAGACACTGCACTGCTAAAAGCTGCCTTGGCGTTATTAATCAGTATACTGACAGTGTTTTGACCACTATTAACCACTGCTAAATCAATATTTCCATCCTTATTAAAATCACCAATTGCCATAGAAACTGGAGATCTTCCAGTGGTATAGTCCATTTTAGCACCAAAGATTCCGTTGCCATTATTGAGCAACACACTAACGGTACTATTTCCTTGATTGCTCACTGCTAAATCTGGCTTTTTATCATTATTAAAATCAGCTGATAGTATAAACGATGGTGTTGCACCAACTGTGTAGTTCATGGCAGTTCCAAACGTCATATTTCCATTATTAAATAGTACACTGATGCTGCTATTGTAGATATACGCTACTACCAAATCAGATCTGTTATCACTATTTAAATCAACTGCTATAACACCAATCGGATTTTGACCAATCGTATAAGTTTTAGAAGTTTGAAATGTTCCGTCACCCTTATTAATTAGTATCCCAAGAGTGTTGTCATGTTGATTAGTCATTACTAGATCCTGTTTGTTATCGTTATTCATATCAGCTGAAACTAGAGAATATGGAAATTCACCAGTGTTATAGGCTAGTACATAACGAGGAGCTTCAATTGTATCGCCAAGTAGCACATCAACAGTGTTGTCATCTGAATTGACAACTGCTATATCTGCTATACTATCGTTATTGAAATCATGAGATACCATACATAATGGTGAGTTGCCAGTTTTAAAGGTAACTGGAGCGTAAAAGTTACGATTTCCCATACTTCGATATATACCGACTGTATTATCTCCATTGTTGGTTACTGTAAGATCTAATTTACTATCATTATTAATATCACTCGCGATTACGAAGCTCGGAGCATTACCGGTATCAATCGAATAAGTAACTCCGAAAGTTCCATTTCCATTGCCCCAAAAAATAAGGATGGTATTATACTGACTGTTAACTACTACCAGGTCTGAGTTACCATCATTATCAATATCAGCTACTACCATGCACGATGGGGAGTCGGCAGTGGAATATGTATCTCCTATATCGAAGCTTCCATCCCCGTTGTTGAGAAGCACCCCAATATTGTTTTCAAGTTGGTTTGAAATTATTAAATCCAAATTTTTATCGTTATTCAAATCAGCTGCAACAACAAAATTTGGTGAAGTACCAGAAGCAAGGATCTTTCCAGCCTGAAAAATTCCATTGCCATTACCAACTAACATACTAATAGTCCTGTCATTTTGGCTAACTACTATTAAATCCAATATATTATCATTATTGAAATCACCCGTTGCCAAATTAACTGGAGAGTTATCAGTTGCATATTGGATTTGAGTTTGGAAAGTCGCATTTCCATTTCCTAGCAATACGCTAATGGAATTATTATTCTGATTGCTGACTGCTAAATCCATTTTTTTATCATTGTTAAAATCAGCTGCAATTAAATAAGATGGACCTGAACCGACTGTATAGTTGACTGGAGCTTGAAAAAGTCCATTTCCGATACCAACAAGTATAGTTATAGTATTATCATCGCTATTCGCCGTTACTAAATCTAATTTGCCATCATTATTAAAATCTTCCGAAACGATAGAAACTGGCTGTGTACCAGTAATACCACTTGTAGTCTGAAATACATAATCTTTATTTCTTAGTAACATCGTAACAGTACTATCAGCAAGATTTGCCACTGCAATATCGAAATCTATAGCATTTCTAAAGTGATCTAGAACGGTAGCACTTGGATTTCTTCCAGTCACGAAAGAACCTTGTTGTTGAAATGGATCACTACATACATATGCTAGAAAAAAGGATATTAAAAATTTCATTGAATAATAGCATTTTTTGTATTCATTTAGCTCGTTTCCTCTATTAAACAATATGTACACTTGATTATAGATGAGAAAATGATACATGCATCATAAAGATGTCTATATTCTTATGACTTTCCTTGAAATATATACTTCTTCGAGATAGTCTCATCAATCCTCCTAAAATATTGTATACTGTTAATCGTATTAAATAGAACTGGTCGAAATCAAATTTTATATTACTTATAATATTTCTTATATGGGATAATTAAAACTCGATAAAAATTATTAGGAATGATTTCAAAAGAAAACCTTAGTTCGTTGAAAATCTTACGTGTGTTTTTTGATAGTCCGACAACAATGGCAACAATAACACCTGCAATGAATAAAGCAAGTAAAGAGAAAAATGGAATGATAAATCTCTTCTTTCGATAAAATGGACGTCTAGAAAAATAGAATAATAAAATAATTTATTTAGAAAATAGTGAGAAAAGATGAAGATTAGACTTACTTAATTTCGGGATAAATATGTGCACCTAAATGTAAATAAAGACAATTAGTATATAGTAAGTAACTGAAGATTATTTGAAATACCTTCAAATGGTGGTTCAAGTGAGGTTGTTTTGGGTATCACTTGTTTCAAATGAATAATGTATAGATTATCTGCTGGACTGAGTTGTGATTGTACTACCATATGAGTACCAGATAAAAGAAGAATTTCATCTTCAGTAACAAAATGTGAATGAGCTTTGATTGTTCGACCATTCATAACTTCTACAGAGAAAAGTGTTCGATCACCTTCATTACCCAAATACATATTATTTTCAAGTACAGTCATTTCAGTAGTACATGATGAAAATGCCCACCATGTCATCTCAGTACCAGGTGGAAATTCAACACTCAAATTTTTAGTTACTCCACGCCAAACAGTTAATGGTGGTATACATGGTAATTTGACAAGAGCAGTTACGAATAATTTAATATATTTGAAATAAGGTAGAAGAGCTTGACGATCATTATTCTTCAGATGATAATTGAGCATTGAATACAGACTTCGATGTGGTTTGTCCCATTCGATTGTATAAAGGCGAATTGCAGCGCTCTCATCAATTGTTAATCCATCAGGTGGTTGTTCTGGTGTTTCATCCAATGCTAATTGAGTATAGAATGATATATTATGTAGGATCTCATTGAGAGGAGTACACGCTTTAGAAAGTGGTAATAGAGGCTCTTCAGTGTATCCTAGAATAGGACTGATTTGTGGTTCAGTATCAGTAATAGCTGTTGTAGCTTTCATATCTTGATCTACAGTAGTATTTTCTTCGGTTGTTCGAATCTCTACCACAGTGTTATCAAAATCCTCATCTAATATTTCCTGTTCTCTTTGATGAAGTGCTTCTTCTGCATTCAAATTCAAATTTAATGTGTCCGACGTATGTGATAAATCATTATTGATCTTGTTTCTTTTACTTCGTACATGTTGTCGATAATTTTTTTGTTCATTATTAAATGTAATCGCTGTTAGTTCAGTTTGTGCAGGAATATTTTTACTTGGCTCTAACTGTTGATAAATTATCCGTTCATCGTTGAATGGATTGATCTCACGACTTGTTTGTATGCGGACATTTCTCGTCTTCTTTGTTTCATTTTCCATCTTCTATTAAAAAAGAGATAAATTATCTTTTATTAATATTAGTACCATTTTTTCCTCTTGTTTTTTTATATAAAAATTCAAAACTAAAATTCGAAGTATCAATATCTGAGTTATCTATACACTCTTATCTACTGAAGTATTTAGAATCAATGAATATAAGATTACTTTATAGTTCAATATTGATTAGGCAATATAAATATAAAAATATATGATTTTATATATTCAAATGTAAATACTGTTAATATCATCATTTAATAGTTATGTTGTTGTTGAATTCTATATTTTTCATCTATATATCAATTGTATACTTACCGTTAATAATGTTCTATTAAAAATGGAGTTAAAAACAAATCACTAAAAGTAAGAACTACTTGTAATCAAATAGAAAAACAATAATGAATTATGGACGTTTTTTTTCCTGTTTTTATACAGCTATTGCCTACTCATTAAAATATACATCGCATTTTTTTATCGAGAAAAAAATAATCGATGAAACCAGAGTGTTTCTTAACAGCATATTTTTCTCCTCGCGCATATAATAAACATATACCTGTATGCAATCATTATAAAAAAAGACTAAAACATGGTATATTAGCTGTTTCATTTATAATATCATATTATATGAAGATAATTATATACGAGACATGAAAGCATCCATTTTTCCTCTTTCGTTTCACAACAACAAAAATTTATTAACGTTTTTTTCATATACAGCGTGAAAATAAGTAAAATATGTATAAACGTATAGTTTTATTTTGTAATAATTAATATTTTATAGATAAAAAAAAAGAATCTTCATATTTATGTAATAAATAATAAAATATTTTTATTTTTATTATTAATAAGAATCCATTTGATTATGAAAATGAAAGATATTAAAAGTATGATATTATGATTTAGATATTGATTCTACAGAAAATTTCAATATATTTTTTTTTAATTACGAACATTCTGACCAAGATCACTGTGTACTGATCGTTGTAAATAAATATGTTATTGCGTAGACGTGATATATATCGTCATTTATTTTCGTTCTTACGAAAGAGAAAAATAATCTTAATTGAAAGTCAAGGTTATTATTGAAAATTTATCACATTTTTGTAGAACCAGTTTATGTCTAAAAAGACATGCAAAGATGAAACCCTGTACGTTACTAATTATATATATATATATTAGCTTGATTTAAATATTAACGAGTTCAATATAAGTTTGAGTAAAATTTAGTTCTCTCAAACATTCTCTTTGTTATTTATGCATACAGTAGATTAAAAAATGATTCGTTTACCCTGCTTTCTTATTTAGTCAAATACAATAAAATAAAGAAAGTTAAAGATCAAATCTTGTACTTTTAGATTATAAACAAATGGTTTCGTTTCTTGACCGGAAGAAGACAATATATTTCTTTTTAAAAATTGATTTTTTTATGTAAATTTGAGGATGAGAGTGTGTAGTGGTACAATATTTATTCCATCGACATCCTCTCTACTCACTTAAAAATATAATTCTTACATCATCTATATAGCAGACATGTTGTAAGTAAACAAGTAAATTTCGTGCAGATATTTTAAAATATTTAGTTTTTAATTAATAATTATTTTCAAAAATTCAAAGTTAAATAAAAGGCAGGGACGCCTTAGAGGGCGCCGTAATTCACTATGAGCAGTCGTGTTGTTTGTTTATTAGTCCATTTATAACCACTGACAAATGCTGTAATAGATTGCTTTCAAAAACTGGGACGGATACGTCAGTGACAGAGTGTCAAAACGTGTCGTAAATACACAGGACACTGTACTTGTTAATGGTATAATTGCTCAACCAATAGATTTTTTTTCCATTTTGACATCGCCTATATAAGGCAGATGTGAGCAACTTGTAATAGTATCATTATTATTATTATGATAAAAATGCTTTTTATTATATTTTCATTAATAATTATTGTTGTATTAATTGGTTTTCTATTTATTTTTCCTCGTTATACTGAAAAAGACGATTTAGCTATGTTAAAGAAGTATCAATCTATTAAAGAGGGTCTATTGTCTGTTATGACATTCAATATTCGATTCGATGGACCCGAACGTGATCCAAATAATCATTTTACAAAAAGAATTTTTCGTTTAACGGAAACTATCAAGAAATGGAAACCATCTATTCTAAGTGTACAGGAACCATTTGCCGATCAATTACGTCATTGGCACTCTCACTTACCGAAACATTATCAATATATTGGTTACCAACCTGATGATGCTGATAGTAATCTTATACATCCTTTATCTCATATGTATTTTCAAGTTGCTATCTTATATAATAATCACGTATTAACACTATTGGAACAAGATTATATCTGGCTATCAAAATCACCACGAATAGTTGGAAGTAAAGATTGGGATAGCCATGCAGCTCGCACATTGAATATTGCACGATTTAAATTGAATAATGATGATAATTCTACTAACATTCTCGTTTTTAATACTCATTTAGATGTCAGAAGTGAACAAGCACGTCGAGAACAAGCGAAAATTATTCGATCAACAATAAAGCAATGGCAAGAAAAGTATCCGAAAGCTGTGGTTTTATTATTTGGAGATTTTAATTCTGTTCCAAAACAAACAACATATAATATATTGACATCATCACATTTTTTATATGATACTTGGACAGTTGCTAAATCTTCCGGATCAATGTGTGTGTCTAATACATTTTCTTCAACTTTTCATGGTTGGCTAGCATCAATAGTCAATACTTACGGATTTCAAATTGCACTAACAATACTTTATACCTTTCATGGATTAGGTGTTAAATTACTGCATGAAGTACCTACAAGACCTTCATTTATTATGGACGTTTTAAAACAATTATGGAAAGTACGTCGAACGATAAGTTTATCAGAAATGATTTCACTGTGGTCTTCACATCGAATACATGTTGATTGGATTTTATATCAAGATTCAATGGATCGTAGTCAACGTTTACAACCTCGATTTGTAGCTGTAGTAGATATTCGATCTACAAACTATTCTTCCGATCATTTTCCTATTGTTGCCCTCTTCCAAATTAAAAACGAGTCATAAAAATAATTTAAATAAAATATTATAAACTACAGGAAACTAGTATACATCTTGAGGATGTGGGTGAATAAGAAGATTATACACACCCTCAAGATCCTCAAGATGTGATACACACTCCGAATTGATTTACATGAAGATACACGAAAAAATTAAGTATTTATTTAAATATTACAAAACTAGTTGAATCATATGGTTTAAGATCATTCCATACATATGCAGTCATAAGCATATCATCCGCCATTTTTGTACCCATTTGTGTACCACCAAGTGATCGATAAAATTGATGTGTATGTTCTCTATCAACTCCCCATACAACAAAATTTTTTGGATGAAATCTTTCAAGTATTTCATTCCAAATAATTTTCCATAATTCTCTACCAATTCCACGATGTTGATATTCTTTTTGAACACATATAGTTCCAACTTCACAGTCATATATTTGATCATTGACTATTCGACTATGTTCAAGTGTTTTTCGACTAGAACACCATCCAACTATGTTCTTCTTCTCATTCTCAGCAACATAAAAAAGATATGAGGAATCTTTCTCAAATCCTGTTGACCATCGTTCCAATCGTTGTTGTACTATATCTTCAGTTGATGAACTTTCTATGGCATCATCTAATAATTTGGACATGATAAGAAGATCATCTACGATAGGCCTTCGAATTGTTATTTTCTCTAATGTTGACATGTTGATTATTCTGTAATGTTCTTTGAAAAACGACGTATTTATATATGCCGATATTAGCTACGTGTTACTTCTATCATGTTATCATTGACACGTCATCGTCAAATATAAATGACTCAAGATAACGTATTTCTATTGTTCGTTCTATTTCTAATGTAAATTGTCGCCATCGAAGAATGATGAAGTGAAACGACTGACTTACTAGGGATATTTTCAGTGTAGTAATATTTTTAATTTGAAAATAAAACTATACTACTTGATTAAATCATGATTTTTTTTGTTTCATTAACTTTATTCTTTATAGGCATACACTCAAACCAGATTTTAATTATGTTATTAACGAATATAATATGGGCTAACCTGAATATACTCTCTCAAATGTTATTCGTGTTGATCAAATCTACATTTATCTCATGAAACTTCATTATCGTCAAAATAGATGACACTGTCTGACGTGGCACTCACACAAGTATGATTGATTGTATTTCTGATCCTCTTACTTATCATGGACTTGTATGTTACTGTTGTTATTTTTCACATAATAATCTTATGCCTGATCTTGCGAGTGTGGGTGTCTTCTTCTTTCATATACCCACACCCTCAATATCTCAGCATGATCAATATTGGACGTATAAGAAATGTAATTATCTTTCTATGCTGACGACTGATAACGATAGAGGAGAAGATTTTTGTGGTTTTTTGAGAAACAGTTAATTGTCGTTTCGTTGAACGATATGAAATTCTAGATATTGATTATAAATAATTCTTTCATACCTGTGTTTGTCATCTTCAATAGAAAATTTCATTTAATTGAGAATGATTGTGGGTGCAATCCTGATATCATGTATCATATACCGAGTGTTTCAAAAGTTTTGCGACATTTTGTATTTTGCACATATCTCAGCATAGGTAA